AGATTTGTATAGTTGTATCTTCAAATATGCATTATAAATTTCAAATCAAAAATTTAGTTTCACGTACCAACCCTTAGTCCTTTCAAAGGTTTAGATTTCAACCAATCCTTGGAGATTAATTGAGAACAATGAACATATAAAACCAAACTCAGAAACCACCATTACAAATGACCTTATCAAACATAGCAAAAAAATTGTCCAATTCATACCAAATCAAGTTCTAAAAAGAGTTTACAAAAACAACAGTAAAAGAAGTAAACTTTTTAATCAAAGCTTTTTTATTCTAGAGAAATTACCTCCAGCCAAAGCTTTTTGATTTTAGGAGAAGAATCCTTTTTTCACCCCTAATATTATTTATCATAGTTCATTAGCCTTGGAAAATGCAGGAGAAGCATCAATTGTCACGACCCAACCTCAGGGGCTTAGGACTGGAATCGCAACTTACTAAATAATTCTAAGCTTATCAAATTAAATGGCGCAGGTAGAGGCAACGTGGAAGTAGGAATTAATTAAACAGAAAATTTGCTACATTCTACTATTTGATAAAAGAGAATACATATATAGGACTTTTATTATTATTTTTTATTTTTTTATTCAGTGACCAGCCCTTAGTAAAACAAAAGGAAGCAAAACTAAAATAGGGAAAAGAAAAATAAATAAAAAAAAGAAAAACAAAATAATGGTTCAATATCAAATTCTCGTGCGGGTTCCACTATGTGAGGTTATAGGTTTCCCTTACATCTCGTCACTTGAAAGGGTAACAACTATAAGCACACAGCAGAGTGAGAAATATTATGCCAAGAGTATAGGGAATACAAAATAATCTTGGATAGTTAGTTAAGCTAAAACATTTACATAACTTAATTTTGAATAAACAAATTATTCAAAGTGGCAGAAACTAAAATACGAAATTTGTGTAAATAAATAACAATAATCACGGTACAGAATAGAACAGAACAGAGGTCACAAAAGTGACAATCAGAACAGAGGTCAATGGATCCATGACAAACAGAGGACCACAAAGTCGTGAAACAGAGGTCAATAGTTATTTAAGTCCCCCAAGGCATGGGACTCCCGTGGTGGTACTTACAAAACATAATTGTTTATAAAGTCATAGTCAAATATTCTTTAAAATTTAAACAAATATATCCATAGGCTTCTTTTAACAAATAGAGTTCAGAAATTAATTCACCTAATTAAAATATTAATATAATTTATAATAATTTATAAAACATAACTTGTATAAAATAAATTATGATAAATCAAAATGTACATAAAATATAATATGATGACTCAAAATATAATATAACTCATTTTTATATTGAGTCTTACTATCTCTTTCCTATTTCCGTTAGCTTCCGGCCTTTCCATTGCTTCCTATTTGTGCTGATTCTTTTTTTTTTTTTTTTTTCTCGTTAGCACTACTTTACTTCACAGCACCTTCCCCTATTTATACATGCAATTAGGTGGTGACTCACCTACCTAATGGCCCTAATGGTGATGAATCACCGGTAGACAGATGGCTCCTATTTATACCTCTCAATATATTTGCGAATCTCTTAACATTTTGCAAATCTCCGAAATTAAACATGCCAATTCCTTCACATTTATTAGTCATTAACTTGGAAAAAATGCTTGAGAGCGCTAAAACGGGATCACTAAAGGGAGCACTAATAATGTGGTAGTGGGCTCCGTCCACTTTCTATGCCTTGTTTTTATTTTTTTATTATTTTTTTTGTCATTTTCAATGTATTAGTGCTATTAGTGATGTATTTTTTAGTGGTCTAAATCATTGTTGTTAACTTGGTCCCAAATAATTCTCTTCACTATACATTTGATAGGAAAATGTCTCGTAGCTCAAATTTTGTAGCTCAAAAGTGGCTCAAATGGCCAAAACGACGTCGTTTTGGCCATTTTTATGTTGTTCTGTACTCAAAACGACGTCGTTTTGACCATTTGAGCCACTTTTGAGCCACAAAATTTGAGCTACGTAGCATTGTCGCATTTGATAATCATAATGACAAATTAATTTACATAACACAATAGCTTAGTTATTTTATTATTTTGCCTTCATCCTACGTTGACCCTAATTAATTGTATAATAAATTAAATTATACTTTATCGCATACCATCATAAAATTAATTATTTTATTTTACTATCACTCCCACTAGTATTAATATTATTATCATGATTGGTTATAGTATTAATTAAATATTTAGAGTGTCACATCAATAATGTCCTCATAAAATTTGTTGAGGAAAAGAACACCATCTTCATCATGTTGCTAAAATGGGAGAGAAGAGCAACAATAATGTTATTCTGCAATGTTCTGAATTCCCATGTTTCGTATTACCACTAGATTTCCTTAATCTGAATTCTTTTTATTCTAAACTTCAATTAGACATAACAAATAGCATTTTCACACACTACAAGAAACTAAACCTAAATTAGCAATGAAAATATTTTTGTGAGAGCTTTTAGCAATGAAAATATTTTCATAAAATATTATTTAATCAACACAACAATTTTTATATTTTTACAAGAATTGTGACTTTTGTACACAAAATGCAATCAATAGTTCTTGGTTAGAATAGCAAAATAGTTTCTAACTACCCATTCTATCTGGGAGCTCACATTATAACATCCACTATTCATAAAAGCCACACTAGCATCCTCCCACCAAGGCAATAGGCAATGTAGAAGACCCAGAGACGCACAAGTAATAATAAAAACAGCATTCTCTTCTATGCTCAAATAGACCGGAAATGCAAAAATGTAAAAGTTCCTGTTGGTTGTTGTTTGGTGTGACATATTTACAATTGAAGGTGAGAAATCTAACGATATAGGATCTATGTTGTATCACCTGGTCTTACCATAAAACCAAGGAGTAAAAAAATTCGAAAATTCTATTTTTAGGGATGAAACCTACAGTAAATGGCTCAAAATGATTGCTCTGGTCAATCACTAGGGGGTCTGGGAAAGGGAGGAAGTCATTTGGATGTAATTCAAACCACCTAAATGCAGCCTTGAAGAAGTTTGAATGCATTGATTTGTTCCCTCTATGATCCTAGATGATTTGTTCCCTCTGGAGGATTTTGTTAGTAGTGAACCCAAAAAATCAGCCAGTGAGTAGTTGTGAGTTCACCACTTTTTTAATGATTTTTTTTTTTTCTTCTTTTAGGTGTGTAAATAAGTGGTTTGTTTTGTAAACAAGTGGTGAACTCACAACTATAAAATATCCCCCCTAAGTGCTAAACTGAAAAGTTGTGAAGGGCTAATTTAGTTTAGTTTTTTTTTTTTTTTTTTTGGGTTAATTTAACCTAACTAAATTAGTTTCGTTTAAAAAGAATTTTTGGTGTTTTTTTGTTTGAATGTGATGGTTGTGAAAAAATTAATGAAATGATTACAATTCAAATGTAACATTTTGTCTTATTAGTTTATTTAACATATTTTGTCTTTTTGTGCTTATTTAGGCAAAAAAAAAGTTGTTGCCAAACGACAATTTTGTCTTTTTTATCAAAGATTGTGTAAGAATTTTTTTTTATAATTTATAATCACCTTGCTTGTTTCCACTTTTTAAAAAATATTTTTTAGAAAATTCTACTTTTTTATTTTTCGTGTTTGTTTGTTTTTACTGAATTTTTTTAATATTTTAAGCATTTTTTTTTTACTTTTTAGACATACCTAACATAAATACACTTCAAAAGTAAAAAAATTGTAAACAAAAATCTTTTAAAAATTCATTAAATACCAAAAATACAAAAAAAATACAAGAATTAAGTACATTTTTTGTATTTTTATATATTTATTAATTTTTTAGAATATTTTTTCACAAATTTTTTACTTTTTAGATACATCTAAGCAAGGTGTATCTAAAAAAGTAAAAAAAATGTTTAAAATTTAAAAAATATTCACTAAAAACAAAAAAACACGAAAACCAAAAAAGCCAATTTTCAAAAAACTTAATCCAAAAAACTCAAACCAAACATACTGAATAATTTTTAAAATTTTTTAATTAAAATGTTTGGTTCCTAAACATACCCTTAATAACGTTACAAATTCTTAATAAAAAAATACTTCATTATTTGAACTACAAAACATTTCAAATACTATATTAACACCCTCGTGGTACTCCCCACCTCACAGATCTTTAAAATTTGACACGCATCTAGTGTATTATAAGGTAGACAAGTGCAATTCTTAAAGTCAACGAATCATCAAATTCATTCAAGATAACTAATATAGTTACCAATAATACTATACAAATAAATAAATAAATAAAATGTTGTATATAGAATGATGGATGTGTCTTCTTGTGGAATAATACTAGGAATTAAGAAAAAAATATCATAAAATTCTTCATGAAGTTTTCTCCTTCTTTGATTAGTATGTGTAATCTAACAGTAGAGAATATTTCATGATCTTTTCATAATATTTTTTTTATGATACCTGCCCTTACTCCTTGTTGTGGATCACTTATTTAAAAAAAATAAACTTTTGGAATTCATAATTTTAAAATGTGATGAATGTCGCTGTTATATCATTTTAAATAAAATTATTTTATAAAAATTATGTTTGTATATTATTTGTACATTATTACATATCAAAAAAATATTTTTAAAAAATGTCTAGAATTTGAAATTTATGAATTAAATTCATTCTAATTGTGGCCCACACTCTAAATCTACATCAATATATTCAATTTTTGAAAAAATTCTGAATATTCTTTTTGAGTACATAGCATTTGTGATATTATTTTCCTCAGAATTCTTTATAATCAACAAAGGCATTCATTTAAAAATAAATAAATAAATGATGATAAGATATGTAAGTTTTCAAAGTTCTCAATGTAGAAAAATCTTATATTGCATACTGATGTCACTGACATGTAATAATCCCATGAATATTTTTACCTTTTATGCGATTTTTCATGTGTGATTTTTAATGTGACACATTTTATTTCTTTGTCTTTTTTGTGTTCTTGATTATAAATATGCAGTACTACTCTCCACAATGTCGAATGATAACCAAGTCTACAAGAAGTCGAAATCCGAAAGGAAACGCGATGATTGGATAATTTCGATTAACGACACACTAGCTATGGTGGAAAAGCATTCAAATTTGAGTATATATAAAGTTCCGAATAAACTTTTAAAACTCAAGGAAGATGCCTATACACCTAGTATTGTGTCCATCGGACCTTTTCATCATAACAACAAAGCGATGCAAGCTTTTGCAGAGCACAAATGGCGATACATGCTACATCTTTTTATGAGAATTTCTCAAGCTGCAGAATCTGATTCTACCCACCAGAAGTGTGCCGCTGAAATATTAAAATTGCAAGGAGAAGCTCGAAGATGCTATTCAAACAAAATAGGCTTGGACGAGTACAAGTTAGCTGAAATATTGCTAGTCGATGGCTGCTTCTTACTCGAACTGTTTTTGAAATATTCAGAGAACCATGAGGAGGACAAAGTTGAGGACCCCCTTATCAATAATGATCGGACTATTGCAACTCTTCAACATGATTTGGCATTACTTGAGAACCAGATTCCATTTTCTGTCCTGGAGACTCTGTTCGACATTATGAAAGACCATGTGCCACAACCATTATTTACCGAGCATAATGTGGCCACTTTAGCATTACACTTTTTCAAATCGGCTTTGGGTTTGAGAGACGAAGCAATTCGAAGTAAATCCTCGAAACTCTCTGGTAAGCATTTACTTGATATCTTGCACAAATTTTACCTCCACGCGTCTCTCAAAAGGCGTAAAATTTTGCACAAATCTCACCTTCCCATTTCTGACATAACCCCCTATGATGATGATGATCGTCAACGCTTGCTAATAAATGGATTTGAAAACTGCGCCACACAACTTTTGAAGACAGGAATTCAATTCCAAGGCAAAACCGACACCACCCCAGAAGAAAATTTCCTAGACATAGAGTTCACAACTGAAGTTGTTAAAATGCCACTATTAGAGATACGTGAAGCTACAGAATCAATCTTCCGAAATCTGATTGTTTTTGAGCAATGCAGCATTGACACCTCACATTGCATTACATCATATATCTTCCTTATGAGGAGTCTCCTTAATTCCTCGCACGATGCTGAAATTCTTCATCACAGAAAGATCATAGGATATGATTTGAGTGGGGGTGGGAGTCGCAGTCATGAAGATGTTGCGACTCTCTTCAAATCTATGTGTGATGGAGTTGTTTTGAAGGATTTTTGTTTTTCCGATTTGTGTACCAATGTTAACAAGTACTCTAGGTCTTGGTTGGACTGGCGCAGACTTAGAGCGATAGTGAAGGTGAAGTGGCGTGAATATATGATAGCATTGCCGCGTGATTATTTCACCAATCCATGGACTACCATTTCTGTCATTGCTGCAATTGTGCTTCTCGGCTTCACTGCCCTGCAAACATATTACACTGTCCGATCTTATTATCCTCACTAATTTCAAATTTATTCATGGAAAGCCATTGACAATGATTTGGGAAGAGAGGATTTTGACAGCCAATAATGCTAAGATTACTATCTCTTCTTAGCATTATTGTTTTGACCACAGATCGATTTGGCAAGGTGCAGTTAAATTTAAAATATGTTTTCAGTCGTTTTAATCAATAATGTGATTTGTAGTTTTTATTTTATTTTTTAGAAATGTACTTTTCACTATTTGGACTTTGTAAGGTGTGTTGAAAGTATTCAACAATTTAATAAGAGTCTTAAATAAAGTATTTTTCTTAATAATGCATGTGCAGTGATGTGTGTGTATGAAGGAATAAATTTGAGAAGAGGGCATTGGTTCATAATATATTATATATTTTGGTTCATATAATATATTATAATATAAGCAAAAAGGCTGTAAGGTTTTTGAGTTTGAAACTTTCAATTTTTTTTTTATTTTTTGAATTTTAAAATACATAAATACACATGTCATTCAATCATTGGTCATTATAGTTTAAATCTAATTAATAATTAATTATTTGGTTCATATGTTTATCATCATCAAATCACTTCAATTTAGAAAGTAAATCAATTTTTGAATCTATACTATATATATCAAGGAAAAAGGATTTCTAATGAGAAGGGACTTGTGAAGCTTAAAACCCTCCTATTATTTTTCTAGAATTCTTATTTTTTTAATAATTAAAACATTTTCTATTGGCTAATTTTAATTAAATCATTTTTAAAAAAATTATTATGCCTCGATTTACACATTTCAAAAGGAAAGTTAATTAATCCATTTAAAAATTTAAATTTCAAAATTTGAAAAAGAAATTTAAGTAATCAGTTTTAAATTTTAAACTTTTGTACCACTAAAATATACGAATCAATTCATATCTTCTATATATTTTTTTCTTTTGATGTTCAATTTTTTAAGTAATTAAAAATTTATTTTTATTAATTGATAAAAAGTACCATAAACATTACGATAATATATATATATATATTTATTTATTTATTTATTATATTGAGTTACTAAAAGAGAAAATTTCATTTTTCTACTTATACTTTGTCCCACTGATCAATTACACCCTCAAATTTCGAATAATGTTAATTTTACCCTTAAAATTTTTGAAATCGTATTAATTTACCCCTTATCGTCACATTTAAACAGAACAATTGATCATCCCATTATAGATCTTCAACCACAACAATATATCACTCTGAACAATCTTAACATTCTCATCAATCTCTCCAAAAAACAAAGAATGCATCATCCTATCTGTGCGTACCGAATCCCGCACTAGATGAAAGTGGATCGGAGCTCTGCAACTAAATGGACTATCCAAGAACTAAGGACATGCAACACAGAACACCTTCATAACTGCCAAGCCAGGGTTGGCTGGAAAACCCCTCTGATGTGAGAATGAGTGGTCGGATAAGATGAGGGGCTCTCTTTAGGCGTAGAGAGCGGAAAAGAAAAAATGTATCTCGTTATGTTTTAATGAGTTTAGTTGTTATGAGATGAGATTGGATACTTTCAAAGTGAAGAGTGAGGCTTATGTAGAAGAATTTTTTTGTTGCCCAAGATGGTTTCATGGAGCTTTGGTGCTTCAAGGCTTCCCTTAACATTGCTTAAGGTGGGGGACCTCAAGGTAGTTGACAATAGATGCATGTGTTCATTGTAACCATGCATATAACATATTACATCCACTGTGCTAACTGTTTCTGTGATTCTAGGGGGAGGAGACCAACTGAGATGGCAGCCTGCATATGTATGTGTTCATAGCTTCCATATTTCTCTGAGAGATTCCCTCAACTCAGTACCGTTGTGCCTCAGCTTGGCCTTTCGTAAGACAGCTAGTAAAGATGGGTTGGCCCATTTGAATATCTTTGTGTGGGCTCGGCCCACTTTGGTTCTAAAGATGCGTTTGACCTATCAGTTCGGTTTATGGATTAAGTCTAGCAACTCGGCCTAGCCCAGTATCACGGCTAGATTGGCCTTTCCACTCCGAGTTGGGCTCAAGTGCTGAGGACTTAGGAAGACCTTTCTTAATGGAGATGAGCTTAATTGACTGGTCCACACATTCGCTTGATGCACTTGGGTTTGGGCTTAGCGGCTTAGACCAGCCCAAGGCTTGGATCTGACTTGTTTTATATTCTAACCCTTCACTATCATAAATCTTAAAAATCTTGTCTTCACTCTTAGGTTGCTCATATGATTCTCTGCTCACATCTAGATCAGTCAAAACATCTGCACTACAATGAATGACAATGAATGGAATGCTCACATCACACAAATGCTTATTCACATAATCAGTAACTCTCAAAAGCTCTTTTACAGTCCCTAATCTAGGTTTCCATTATACCTCATAGGATTCAAACCCCTAATCACATTCTTTTCAAGAACCTTCACAAACGTATCCAGAAGATTACCAATGGGAACTGTTAGGAAAAAAAGATGACTTCGCACAAGTAATCAATCAAAAGAAATAAAAATATTGCAAAAAAATTAAATCAACAACGGCATAAGAATTTTTATATAGTTCCCTCAATATGAAGGACGTCCATGGGACCGTAATCCAATTCCACTATTAATCAAAAGCTTTCAAACTATTACAAATGAAATATAAATAGTCTCACAAAACACCCTTAGGTGAATTCAAAATAATCACAAATAAATAGAGGAAAGACATCACCAAGTAGACGAACAAATTGTCTTTGAAATAGAATTAAAGAAGATCACAAATCTGAACCAAACCAGCACCAAATCAGAAACAGACTTCATAACTTTGCAGAAGTAACAACAAAGTGGAGCACCCCAGAACAAAACACACACAGTAGCACTACACCAAGAACCAAATCCAACGAATTAATTTCCAAGTACACACCACCGAAAAGATCAATCAGCCACTGCATACTTTAGAAAAGCAAAAACAATACCAAATATATATATATTGTTAATTCTTGGGCTTTTTTTTAATCAAAATCCTAGCTGTTACCAAACAGATTAAAATACCCATTAGACCTCCAAAAGTCAAATATAATATATATATAGATATATATTAGAACCAACACCAAACCAAATTAAAATTCTTTTAATGAACTAATTAAGTCCTATACTCCACTAAGGAAGTAGACCCAACAATTCTTCTCCTACCGACTTAGACGGAGACATCAACTATATCCGCCAAAGTTTAACACTTTAAATGTTTGTCCCTCGACAAAGTCTTAGTCAACATATCTGAAATATTATCATCCGTGTGAACCTTTTCAAGTTTCAACAATTTCGAATCTAACACATCATGAATCCAATAGTATCTCACATCAATGTGTTTTAATATCAAATGAAAAGTGGAATTTTTACTCAAATGAATAACAATTTGATTATCACAATAAAATGCATATATTTCTTGCTTCAAACCCAATTCTTGTCAAATTTCTTCAACCATAACTCTTCCTTGCAAGCTTCTTTAATGGTGGTAAATTCAATTTCTGTAGTTGAGAGAGCAACACATTTTTATAATTTAGATTGTCATGCTACAGCTCCCTGTGGACGCGCCCCATGCGAGGGCCTCACCACCACAGTTCGGACTCGATTTGTGTCACGGTTCTAAGTCTGAACCAAAGAGTCCAAATCCGGCAAATCGTTTTGAGAAAAAAAATAGATTTTTAGAAAAAAAATAGATTTTTAGAAAAGAAGTGCCAAACATGGACTGCTTTGCCAGATATAGAGTCGCCACCTAAATATTTTATTTTTGGAGAAATTTAGGAAACCCTGACTCGTTTGCCTAAGGCCACGTGTCTATCATCACCAAAGTTGCCTCGGCTCGGGAACTTGGGCATGATTGGGGAAGGTTAGCTATGAGCACCCCCTCTTGCCTGATCCGAAGATCGGCCTCTACTAACCATGATATCTTATTTTGAAAACTTTATGTGTTCTTATTCCGGTTATTAGCCTAGAATTACTATGTTATGCGCACAGCAAACAAGTATAGACTGAATCGACTATATTGGAACAAAACATTTCATGTTTATTTTAAGAATGGTTTGCCACTCGCAAGTAGGCTAAGATGTAGGTTTTGCCACCCTCGAGTGGGCTTAAAATTCGTGTTCAATTTATCGTTCCAATTTAAACAACTCAACCTTCATCCACAGGCATTCATAAGCATTTAGCCGTATGGTAAGCATGCTGTCATGTTTAACATTCACACTCATGCGAGATGCTAAAGCATAAATACTTACATCGTACTCCGTGCCAAAACAGAAACTAGTTAGTAATCATATGCATGATCCTAGTCCATGTCAAGTGGCTAATGCAACGCATACAGAATGCAACTATGATAGGCTCGGCTATTTTAAGATGGCATGTGGGATGCAACAAGTAACATGTATTCAATTTGGAATTGAAATACTATGCAGTTAGCATGATGTGTCGCGCCCAATGCATGTAAGACAAATGTATGGATGCACGCATGCATAGCATAAGGATGCTAAATTAAACATGTCCTAATACTAACCATCAAAAGCAGGTAAGTAAAAGGGAGAAAGAAATGGGGGTTGGAAGACATGCACATACGCACCCACACTTATTACAAATTTGCCCTCATTCGGAGGGACCGAAAGAATAATATAAATTTAACTAACCTACAGGCTAATTAAATATTACAGACCAATTAAATTAATTAAGCAAATTAACTAATCTAACTCAAGCAGTAAACAGCCTCGGGGAGAGGGCCCAATGCAATGCGTGCTCGGCTCCGCTCGGAAAGCCACTACCATGCTCAAGCTGCCTCTGTTTTCCCTGCTATGCTCCTCTGAAGACTGCCAAAGTCCCAGGGTTGCTTCTCTGAGGGTTTTGGAACACCACCGGCTGAGAGGAGTGGCAACCGGCCAAGGGGAATGATTACCGACCACAAATTGATCCATCGACCAACAATGGATGGCCGGTCGACACTGTATTTAGTCGATCGGCCAAAACTTCCTACATAACCTATTTTTGACAGCAGCAGAGGGCAAAACTTGGCATGGCAATGCATTTCAAGCAAATGTATGCACCAACACATCCCTTATCATGTTCATGACTCAAAGGGATATGGTTCTCGATTCTCGGACCATCAATCGCGCATTTCAACACGTGATGGCCCAAGAAACCAAGTTGTGCATTTTTAATGTGGAGTGAAATGCACATAAACAAACAATGGGGCTCAACCTCTATCACAATCAATTCAAGAGGTTAAGCATGCGGGCCAATGTGATGCAACCTAGGCATGTGAGCTAGCATGCAATCATGGAAATGCAAAGAAGCATACAAGGCATAAAATGATCGTGCATGGCATGAAGCAATGCAACCAACAAGTATACAAGACATAATGTGGGTGTTCAAGCATGCAAGTAAGCATATGACTTCGTTCAATCATGCAACTTCAATCATGCAACAACACACAAATATGCAACAACATACAAGGAGAGCATGCGACAATATGCAAAGGAGGGACTTACACTAATTGGACAGCTCTATACTAAGTCCAAAACAGTGGCCGAAAGCTAAGGAAGTGGAGCCAAATACACATACAAGCATGCATATAAACATGGTCCATCACTTAGGCACAAAGAGCAACTCTCAAGCACACTCAAGAAGATGCAAACATGGACTAATGGCATGCACATAAGCTCTGAAAATCATGTTAGAAATGGTTTCAAACCAACTAAACAAAGACAAGCCAAGCATGCAACATAGTCCAAAACTCAAGGCTAACAAGCCAAAATGTAAGGTAGCTATACAAAGCATGCCATGGTCGACCAAAGCAACCCAAAACAGACTTCAAGCATACCAAAACAAACATGGAAGCTTCACAAAGCTTGGCCAAAAGCATGCTAGAACAAGGGCTCAAAGCATAAGACATGTTAGGGCTAAATGATGGCATTACACGACATGTATGCAAGGCATGCAAGGTGTGTCTAAACTAACATACAACAATGCTATATTATGACAATATAAGCATAAAAATCAGTTAAGGCATGGCCAACATACACTTAAATAAGATACTCTCTCAAGAGGCTAAAATGGCCCTTTTCAAGGACAACAAGCAGAGGGGGGTGGCCCTCTCCTTCTTAGGACCTCAAGGCGCCATCCTCACCACTGAAATCCTTCAAGATTTCAGTGGTGAGGAGGCCCAAACACTATGGTTCCGGAGCTCACCAAAAATGCACAAAAAAGGAGCCTAACAAGGCTTAAGAGGGGTCAAACAACCTCAAAGTTCAAAACACTCTAAACAATTATTTAGAGGAAGCAAAAACAGAACTTTTATATGTTATATGCTAAGCTCAAAAACAGTTGCAAGATAGGTGAAAAAGCTATGCAAAAATGGGGAAAAAAAGGGAAAAGTGGTTACCCTTGAAGACCCTCTTCAAAAATGGTGGACCAGCTGTTTCTTTGAGCTCAAAACCACTCAAGAACACCAAGAACAGCCCTCTAGTGCCTCAGTTCCAAGAGAAGGTGCGATGGCGGGTGTTTGTGCGCAAAAGTAAGACAAAACACACACTAATACACAAGAAAGAGAGAGAGAGAGAGAGAGAGAGAGAGAGAGAGAGAGAGAGATATAGAGGTGGAGGATATGCAAACCCTAACCCTAAAACTCAGAGCCCTTTGGAAATGTTGTCTAACCTAGAAGAAGGAGAAGAGGCTTCCTCTTATAGGAGATTCAATCTTGTAAAGCTTCTAAGGCAAGCTAACAAGATTGAAATCCCTCCATACACGTGTATGGAGGGGAGCAAAGGTGGGTGCCAGCTATCACAGCTGGCACAAAAATATCTGCAAAAGCAAATGAACAGTGGTCGGCTAGCCAAAAATGCAATTTGACCAAAAAAGATGGCCGGTCGACCATCTATAGTGCCGGCCGGCCAAACATTTGGCCGGTGGCAACAAAACATAGCCGGTGGCCTCAAGCCATGGCCGGTGATATGTGGGGATGGCCAATAAACCATTCCCTGCCCCTCAAAGGCAAAACACAAGTATTTGGTGCAAAACCAAACACAAAACAGTCGAGTTGAGAGATCCTGAGGCACGGCGCGTAGCCGAGACCTCCGGGAACTCAAAACGAACACACGAACATGGGTAATTACCAAGTGTTCCATCGGTGACGTTCAAGTCTTGAGGACGGTCAAAAATGGGGTGTCTACAGTTACCCCTCTTTGACAGAACTCGAAAGTCATAACAATGACAGGAGTGAGTGTCAAAGCCCAGAGATGACCCATTTTTGACAAGGCCGAAGACTTAGACAAAGCATGCAAGACAACAAAGATATGTGCCCGAAGGCGGGGGCAAAATGCAACTGACAATGCAAGAAGCCGAGCATAACTTATGATCATGCAAAGAAAGCTGTAACGAAGCATAACATGCGACGGTTTTAAGCTAGCAAATACAAATCCAACTACACTACAATGCAGAAAGGATGTAAGAGAATTATGCAATTCTCGATACGTCTCACTCGGAGGACACAATACTTGTATGGTTCATCTGGTTACACCAGCTTTAAATGAACCGTACATACAATATCGTGCCTGAAAGAGAAAGAAAACTCAACAGGTACAATATTGTTAGCAACATGCACAACAACGTAATTGAAAATTGCGTGACAACGTAAATGTGGGATTTAAGGTCTCCTTAGACCAAGGGGTGCACAAACAGTGCGATGATATGCAAATGATATGCAATTGAATCTAATGTAATGCAAATGATATGCAAAATTACAAAACAATGCAAATGATATGCAATCGATATGTAAAGCAATTGAATCATGATCCAATCATAAGCGGTTCAAAACCACATAAATGTCAAAAGGATAATGGAGATGCAAAGTCCGTCTACCATAGAAAAGGTGCCGCAACCCTCAAACCAACATACCAGCATGGAATGGGCGCGTACACATGCAGAACTATGAGTGATGTAGACGGACACAAGAACAAGTAATTGGGTGGAATGACATAAGTGGGGAAATGACCCGCTGAGGAAAGACCAATGATCCTAATGCTGGATGCAAAAATTACACTACAAATGTAATATATACAATGGATATGGCATGCAGCCAGAACATATCTTGCCTAGGAAAGGCATGGACACACACAAACCGCGTCTAACATAGAACGGTCATACAGAACTATGAGTGTATAGACGTGAAAAGTATGGGCACATACCAGACCAAGCTCAACATGGAAAGGCGTAAACTGTAGATGAAGGTGATGCAGTGAATGCACGCAAGCTACAATGCAATATATACAATATGCAATGGGTGGATAGGATACAATGGATAAGGCACGCAGGCCAAAACATATCTTGCCTAGGAAAGGCATGGACACACACAAACAGCGTCTAACATAGAACGGTCATACAGAACTATGAGTGTATAGACGTGAAAAGTATGGGCACATACCAGACCAAGCTTAACACGGAAAGGCGCAAGCTGTAGATGGAGGTGATGATGCAGTGAATGCATGCTAGCTACAATGCGATATATACAATATGCAATGGATATTCACAATGCAATTTGCTGGGGAGAAATGCAATGGATGCAAATGTAGTATTTACAGCGGATAAGGCACGCGACCCAACCTTGTATTGCCTAGGAAAGGCATACACACATACAAACCAACGTTTAACACAAAAATGGTGCCGCAACCCTCAAACCAACATACCAGCGTGGAATAGGCGCGTACACAAAAGTCTCAGATCTATGTTTCAACTTGAAAAGTACGGGCACATACCAGACCAAGCTCAACCTGGAAAGGCGCAAGCCGTAGGCGGGAGGTGATGCAGTGAACGTATGCAAGCTATAATCCGATATTTACAATATGCTATGGAATGTAATATATACATTGGAGGCATGACATATGCAGTTTATACAATGGAATGCATGACATATGCATTATTTACCATGAAATGCATGACATATGCAATATACACAATGATGCATGACATATGCATTATTTACAATGAAATGCATGTTTTTGTTTTGCTTTTGTTTTTTTTTTGAAAATTTTTTAAATGCATGACAGATGCATGAAAGGGAAAATGCATGACGATGCATGTTTTTTTTTTTTGTTTTTGTTTTTTGAAATGCAAATGCACGATGATGCATGTGATGCATGTGAACTTGAAATGCGCGACAACGCGCGGCGCTCGTAATACATGATGATGCATGATTTCGAAATGCGCGACAACGCGCGGCTTTTGGAATGCATGAAAATGCATGAACTTGAAATACGCGACAACGCGCAGCTTTTGAGATGCATGATAATGCATGAACTTGAAATGCGCGACAACGCGCAGCTTTAGATGCATGATAATGCATGAACTTGAAATGCGCGACAACGTGCGGCTTTAGATGCATGATAATGCATGAGGCACGCTTGACAACGCAACCTAAAGAATGTGCATACTAATGCAAGTATGGTGTGTACAATAATGTGAGTGAGGGATGCATGACAATGCAATCGAGCGGCTTTAAGGTCTCGCCAGACCAAGCGGGTTTTCAGGTCTCACCAGACCGTGCATGCTTAAGGTCTTGCCAGACCGTACAAGGTGCACGATAATGCAAGCATAATGACGTTCATGATAATGCGAGATATGTGCATAACGATGCGAATGAAGCGACATATGTCTCAACACGCGTTCACATTAAAGCATTGTAAAGCAATACATGTAGGGCAAATTTTCGAATCTCCTAAGAGGCAGAAGGATACAAAAAAAGGATACACCGCACTCGTATTCAAGTGCCACGCACAGAAGACACGGTCCGAGGTCAAAACGGAGATCGATTAAGCTTCGGAAATGCACTTTCTTGTACTGTCTTGAGCAATGAAGGCCCCAAACCACATATCTGACCCAAACAAGATTGTAGGAGGCTCACCGGCCATCTGAGGAGGTCACCGGCCATCCACCGGCCACAAAAATATTCCACCGGCCAAATATTTGGCCGACCAGCCAAAAGTTGCTGAGTCGGGACAGTTTGGACTTTTCGCCTCGGGTCTTTTAAAATAGGGTTTCAAACCCTATTTTTCTCACTTCCTCTTAGCCGAAATTTCTTCCCCTCTCTCTCTAGAGCATTTTTCTTCCTTCGTTCCTCGTTTTCCTTGATTTTCGCGCCCTCTTCGACGTTTGATTCGCGAAGTTCTTCGCGTTTCGAACATTTTCATCCGAACGAAACTCCGTTTCGGTGTACCTTTTTCAATTTCCGCCTCTTGGGGTTTGTTTCCCCTGAGTCTTCATTGATTTCCGTGATTTTTCCACATTCCGACTTTTCCAGCCATTTTTCGCCCTCCCGGGATTGACTTTTTGTTGACTTTTTGCGTTCTCACCCGGTTCTTACTTTCCCGGTCATTTTCATACCACTTTTGACATGGCAGACGATATTCCACGGGACGGGACTCCCCCGGAGCATGAGATGGACCCAGAGGCTGAGCTCCTTCCCTTGAACGTCCGCCCGTTTGACTCGGCGACTTACCGGCCGGCGATCCACGTGCTACCTCCTGACGGTCTTCGCCAGTTCAGGAGTTTCGACAGGGGCGTGCCACTGGAGCTTCTCCTGCGCGAGCCGACGTCTCATCTGTCTTTCGGCGCTTCCGAGGTATATTCTTCCCTCTGTTTTAGTTTCTGCAATGTAGAACATTTTAACTGCCATAGTTGATTCCGTTCTTTAACTGCTTACCTCAGATACACTGATGCATTACACACTGTAATTCATCTGTGAACACACTGATACCCGATACCGGTTTGAACCTGAAAATGTGCACGTACATTGCATCTGTACTGGACCACTCGGAAACACTGACACATCACATGTTGTAGTTCACTGTAAGCACACCGACACCCGATGTCTGCTTGAATCTGAAAACATGCACACACGCTGTATTGACACTGAACCACCCAAACACACTGACACATCGCATGTTGTAGTTCACTATAAGCACACTGGCACCCGATGTCTGTTTGAATATGAAGACGCGCACATACGCTGTATTGGCCCTGAACCACCCAAACACACTGACACATCGCATGTTGTAGTTCACTGTAAGCACACCGGCACCCGATGTCTGTTTGAATCTGAAAATGTGCACACACGCTGTATTGGCCCTAATTCTGAATGCCCTTCAAAACTATACATTTTATATTGTTTCGCGACTGTTTGCTTTAAATACAGGGAGATTCCCATGCCTTCTGGAGGTATGGGAACATTGCCGCTAGAGATTGGTACATAGAGCTGCCCGATGCGGTCTGTCATATCGTGGACCAGGCCGGGTTCGGCGCATTCTGCAGGGGACTCTCGCGCCTCACTGCGAGCAAACCCCTTCTTGCTGCTCTAGTGGAGAGGTGGTGGGACACCACCGACTCCTTCCACCTCTCTGTCGCGGGAGACATGACGATGACTCCCTATGACTTCTTGATGCTCACCGGCATCGGGGTAGGGGGTGATCCGATCCCCTTTGACACCGACATGGACGAGTGGGAGGCTGCTCAGATTTACCTGCTCAGCGAGGTGCCGCCTCTCGCACGTCCCGGCTTCGTCAGATATTCATGGTTCGAGGTCCAGTTTAGGGTTCAGCCAGCCTTGACCGAGGAGGTTCTGATGACTCTGGAGGAGGTGGAGCGGTATGCACGCGGCTTCCTCATGATTCTGCTGGGGAAGACTATTTTCGCCGACCGGGCGAACACCGTTTCCCTCTGCCTGCTCAGCGCTCTCGTGGACGTCACCAGGATCTTGCGCATCGACTGGGGTGGCGCCGCCTTGGCCACTCTGTATGGATACATGAGCTCAGCTTCCCGTTACAGCGGACAGTTGCTCGGAGGTTACTGGCGAGCTTGGGAGGTACATTTTCTTCTTCTGCTTTTCATTTCTATTCTATATTTTATGTACTCTGTACACTGCACACACTACAGTCTGCTTCATGCTGATCATATACTGTACACACGGCACACATATATTTTGTTTTACACTGACTATACACTGCACACACTGTACACTCTGCACAATACACTGCACAATACACGGTTCTGCAAATTTCTGCTTTATTTTGTATTCTGCTTTATCTGATAAGCATGCTGGTATTTGCTCTGCAGTTGTGGGTCTACGCCTACTTTCCGAGACTTGTGCCAGTGCCAGATGTGGAGACCCCTCTTGTCGTGCCATTCTCGCGGCGTTTCGATGTGAGATGCGTGCGGAGACCCTGGGAGACTTTCATCTTCTTCTGCCATTACTTCGACACCATCACCCCCGCGGAGGTATGTTCAACTTTTAGAGTTTTATTTCAACTTTGCTTTACACTGTATTTTCAATATCAAGAGATAACAAACTGCCTATCATTTACAGATCACCTGGCAGCCTTGGGCTCCCTTGCCAGCTAGGGTGAGAGATTGATTCGCCGGCGCTGAGGAGACCGCTCGGTTCAGGATCCTGCTGGAAGGCCCGGTCTGTCGGGCTTGTTACCTGGGTGAGCGTTTCCTCCGCCAGACCCTAGGTTTACCCGAGCAGATAGTCCCGATCCACCCTCCTGAGTACATGAGGGATACTGAAAGGTTTACCTCTGAGCAGATGGCTGACTACACGATCGGCTGGGATGCGACACGTTTCAGAGGCATAGGCGACTACTCAGAGTACGTTCGGACGTACATTATGCAGCCTTTGAGCGGTGGTCGTCGAGCTGAGAGAGAGAGGCCAGCGACGCCGGCGGCTAGGGCAGGAGCAGGGGCAGGGACATCGAGGACGGCCCGAGTCCGTGGTAGGAGTGGAGCTCGGAAGGGGCGGGGGGCTAGTTGGCCAGCACTACCCACTATGATGACATGCCAAGGACAGGGTGGGGAGACTTATCAGATCCCCATTGCTCCCCCTCCGGCTGATCATGAGTTAGTCGGGTTCTCCGACTTGCCTCCGGTATGTATTACTTCATCTTGCATCTTACATTGTCATTTCATTTTATTTCATTTCATTTGATATTCCGCGGAATACTGATGCTTCTAACACTTTTGTAGGCTTCCTCCGAGTACACGCGCCAGTCACTGGAGTTATCTGCCTCGTTGATGGGGATGCTCCAGCGGAGCTTGGACCTTTTGGCCATGTACAGTATTCCGGTATGTTCTTCTGACCACAATCTCTGACCATACATAAACTGTTTCACATACTCTGATGCACAACACTACACTTGACACACTGCCCTCACGGCATCCGATACACTGTAGCCCACAGACTGTCCACAGCATTGCTTGCGACGTCCATACACTGCACTCAGTCACTGCATTCTGTACTGATACACTACTAACGGTATTCACACACTGTATTCATACACTGCATTCTGCACTGATACACTGTTTTGCGTGGCATACTGATGCGTTTGTAATTTGTACTTTTCAGCCTCCATTCCTGATGCCTACTGTAGGAGGTGCTCCAACTGGGCCTTTCGCTCCCACCGAAGCAGATGGCAGAGTATACCCTCGCACCAAGGCGGGGCGCACCCATGTTGGGAGTAGCTCACGGGCACCCGTCCCTGATGATGATGATGAGTCCGAGGCTGAGGCTGAGTCGGGGGCAGAGTCGTCCGAGGAGGAGACCGAAGACGGCTCGGGTTCAGACTCAAATGACGATGCTGATGACGATGCTCTTAGACCTTCGTCCAGGAAGAGGACGAGGACGGACCCCTAGACCTGACGCTCTTTTGACATTGATCCAAATTTTGCTGCTTTTCTTCTTTTTGTTTTGTACTTTTTTGTTCTTTTTGCTAGTAGCTAGAGTACCTTGTACTGCCGCAGGCAGGTTTTTGTTTCCAAAGCTTTGTATTTGAGAAATGATGAAATGAAACGAAACTTTTTACCTAAAAAAGTGTTACATTTGTACATGTCGTATATTGCATCGCATTACATTACCTCACATCACATAACAATGTAAATAGAATTGATCTCCTGTCTGAAAGTCAAACATTTGTATTGTAATAACCAGGTAATGAACCGGCCAACGGCAAAACAACTCAAATAACCCAATGCTTAGTCTGAACACTCGGCCCATACTCTGCTGGGGATTAATCTGCATACAACGAATCCTGAACAAACAGTCCAATTTGACGAGACGGAATACAAAGGTAGAATCGGCCGAAGTTGAAGCACACTCAGATGCCCCAAATTTTCCCTTTCTTCTGTTGCTTCGCATAAATGTGGAGAATGGCACAGCACTCTGAGCACAGCATGACTAAAATTTTGAAATTGAAAAAGGGTTTTTCAAACCGGGGTATTGAGCCTACAACTGAACATAGTAAAAAGACTCAAACAAAAAAGGCGTACAACCTAAACACAACGAGACACGCTCGGAAAAGACTCAAAACAAAAGTTGAGGTAAACAAAACAAAAGACACGACACACAGACGTGTTTAAAAAAAGAGAAACCTCTAAGTCCGCGAGGAGCCAGTTTATTCGGGTATTTTCCCACCCTTTCTGATTTGTGTGATTCTCACATCACTCGACTCTCAGGCTCGATTTTTTTCTCTCAAAAACCCTTTAGCTTGCTTTTTCTCTCAGCTTACACCTCTCTATTCTTTATTCTCTCATTTTTTTTATCCCTCCCCTAGGTGTTTAATGGATGAATAGGAAGTTGCGGGTTCACGCCCAACACTTATTAGCTCACGGCTATTTCCTCCCAGGACGTCTAGTCGATGTTCCGAATGGAGTATTTTGATCCTTTCCAAATTATGCTTCGCACTTGGCTCGATACCTCGTTGCTTGGAGGTTGTTGAGAGCTTTCAGCCCTTTACTGACAACTTCAGTTGTGTCTTCTTCTGGCGAATAGAGTGTCCTTCTGGCAAGTATTGACAATCTGGGGAAAGATAGGGAGCCTGACTCAACCGTGCCCCTAGTTCATCATTTTGATCATTTTTTGTTTTGGTTTTCTACTAAAACGATTTTGACCAATATGAGAGTTAGATTAACATACTTGTTCGATTTTTGATTTGAAAATCATGCAAGTCAGGCTATGAGCACTGAAAATTTTCCTTTTTTGGGTCCAAGAAAAGGTCCAATTTTGAAAAGTGAAATAATTTTCGAAAAAATAGTCAATCTCAGTAAAAATTCTCAAAAACTATTTTTTTGGCCAACGGCCGCTGCTCAACGAGCACGAAACTTACTCTTGAGATGCGCAATCTCGGATCGGAGGTAATGGAAAATTGCCCCTTGCTTGAAGGACGCTGCATGGCAACAGAAAGTTGCCCCTGGTTTGAGCGGCGACTCATGGCAACGGAAAGTTTCCCCTTGTTTGGATGACGCCATAGCGTATTGTAAACAACCCTTACTAGTGATGATCACGACCGAACTCTCAGATATAGAGAAGACGAAGATGGTCAAAAACCAATATATGGACACAGTCACTTTGAAAGCGTTGGTGGCTGGACTTCAGGATGAAGTTGCTTACGTATCCCAAACATGGGAATCAAGGGTGATTAAAACCATTACATGGATGCAGTCGCTATGAAAGCGTTGGGGGCTGGACTTCGGGGTGAAGTTGCCTACGTATCCCAAAGATGGGAATCAAGCCTTACGTAGTTCTGGTTAAAGTACACTCGGGTATTTTGACCTTCACTTTTTAGGCTCTAACTTTTGCCAAGGTGCCCGTTGCGGGTTTTCGACCTTGCGAGCTTTATTTTTCTTTTCTGATTCTTCTTTTTTGTATCTTTTTGTTTTTTGCTTTTTTTGTACATTTTTTTTTCTCTTTTCTTTTGCATTTTTTCTTTTTATTTTTTCCTTGCTCTAACTTTTGCCTGGGTCGCCCTTCCGGGTTTTCGGCCCAGCCAGCCTCTCAAAGGGTAAAAATGTAACAAGTCCATGCCAAATGGTTTTAGGATTTTGAAGCCATCTTTATCCGGAAAAGTGGCTGTTGTATTGATTTGCGGAATGGTCCATCTTCGGCTCTTCGAGCACATCGGACATTTTCGCCCCTAGTTCGTGGGGTATTTCTGTTCTAGCCTCGCAGGCTTCTGTTGACGACGTCTGACCTCTTGATCTGACTTTTGGTGCCTCTTGTTCGAGGGTTGCTTCAAATCTGGCCACACAGGCCTCTCTCGAGGATTGATCTTTGAACATTCTGAATGGGTTCAAGGCTTGGAGACAAACGGATTGAATCTTGGGGTCGAGAGCGATCCTAGGCCGCGCAATCCCAAAAGCGATTTCACACAGGTCTTCATAGGACCGCGCAAAACATTTTATTTTTGAAAGTTTTTACGAAAGCGACAAATCGGTTGCGCTGAAGATAGTGTGGAACCAATCTGGATCAAGCCATGGTCCTTCTTAGTACCCACATTGACACGCATGATTTCGGTCATTAAGGGCTTAGCATGCCTCATCTTCTCTCAAATTGATCAAAGTTTTGTAAAACCCGAGGAATTCCTTCCTCTTCGTTTTCATCACCACAGTGTTCAAAAAACGTTTTGAAAAACTTAGGTCAATACAATTAGTTTAGAGCACAGAAGAGTAAGTGAGATGCTCCGCCGTTTCATTCAAATCCTCTGGCGTAACTAGCTCAAAGTAGCAATAAGCACAGAAACATGATAGCCGCAGCTGTTTCATTCAGATTTCCTGGTTGCAACTGGCTCCACAGCAGAGACAGACTCAAAAGAAAACAAAAACGGTGTTCGAGGAAACAACCTCGGAAACACCTAACATTCTATACAAAGGGACTGACTCGCTACAACAAGACAGACCCTTAAGCAAAAAGAACTGACTCAAGATGATGAGACAGACTCAAAACAAAACAAAGGACTGACTCGACACCTAAGTCAGAAATTACAAAACTAGCATTCGCAGATGCTCAAAAATACGTGCCAGACGCCACATCCAAAATATGCCGAGGGTCACCCGCAGGCGGTTCACTTCTCGATCACGTACTCGCAGTATCCTCAAAGTCCAACAACTCGGTAACAACAGACTTTGCTGAGGTGGGTGGGAGGATTACCTCATTGTCAATCAAATCTTGCACTTCATGACGAAGGCGGAAACAGTTATCGGTAGCGTGACGGGTTTGCTGGTGGTACGCGCAGTACAAGGCAGCATCATGTGTGAGAGGGAGATTCTTCGGGAGAGGCCGCGGCTCGAGGGGTTTAAGATGCCCCTTGTTAGCCAAAATTTGAAATGCCCTAGACAGAGGCATGTAGAGGGCATGAAAGACTCTGCGCCCCCGGGGCAAATACTTCGAAGTCTGAGGATTCTTGCTAGGTGCGCTAGCGAAAGGGTCGGCAGGCGCTGTCTTAACTTTCTGATCTTTCCTAGGTGCAGAGTTGGGAGCGGAATGAACTGCTTTAGCATGATGGGGCCTATCCCGATTTTCTGCCTGGCTTGAACTGCCTTCAGTTGGAGTGGAAAAGACATCATCGACAGTCTTGGCCGCGACTGCGAATACCTGTTGCTTATTCATCCCCCCGGCTTTCAAAGCCTCGACTGCCCATATCAGTTGTTCAATGGGATCGACATCTATTCTCATGTTGTTCTTACATCTAGCCTCAGCCTGATCGAGGGCTTGGGTTGATGCTGACATGTTATTGCTATAACTTGAGACAACCTCAGGTTGGCTGAGCTCGATCACAATCCGTCCCAGCAGCGGGGGCTCCTCTGGCATAAAATTCCCAGTGTACGACGTAGTTGGTGGTGAAGCCAACATCCCATAGGCGAGATCAGCCACGGACCTCTGAAGGTCGCCAATCATTCCCATTAACTCGAACATGGTGGGTTCACGAGTTTGATACAATTGGGGTGTCCAGATTGGGTCTGCAGCATGCGACCTGGGCGGATGTGGTACATCAAAATTGGTCTCATCCTGCAAGATGATTCCTTGGTCCAATGCGGCTGCCATGACTATAATTTCCTCCGAACTTTGGGTCGTCATAAATCCGCCGAACTTGAACGGTGACTAGCGGGTCAGATATCTGCCTTGCCTCAGCGAGGGAAAACACTGGCTATTTTGTACTTGAATCTCTGAACTGAAAGGGAAAACAAGCAGCATTTCAGCCCAAACGGAACAAACACAGGTGTAGCCGAACAACTGTACTCTACTACTGATCACTGTTCCCCAAAATCACTGCCCCAAAACACTGAATCGGATACCCACAGATATAACTGATTCTCACAAACTGATACTGGTGCCCTCAGGCCTGATACTCAAACTTGCAAACTGATATGCGTGTTCCTGTAGAGATACACTCTAAAAGCACATAGCAAGTAAATGAGAGCCAAAACACCCCTATGTTGGGGTAGGGTTTCCCTGTCCTATTTTGTCAGGAGCTAGGGTTCCGCTATGCACGCAGCGGTTTCCAAACAACCTATATTGGGTAAGCAACCTGTCCTAGTTTGGAATGGTCACTGTGGATTCTGAGTATGCACTAGGTCGAATGGTCGAAAATGGTGCCCTAGTAAAACCGGGGTTTGTGTTCCCATACTGGCAGAGCCCGCAATCGGTCAGCCTCATGGTCATGCCTTGACAAGACAAGCCTCCAGCAAACCGCTCAAGAATAGCAGATGACCAACACGGTGTCCTAGGCGCACGAATGCACATGCAATGCAAAGAAACACATAAGTGTAGTCAAAACAAGATATCACGAGTTCGAGTCAAGTTCTCTAATATCTCCAGCAGAGTCGCCAGAAACTGTGGACGTGCCCCGCGCGAAGGCCTCACTACCACAGTTCGGACTGGATTTGTGTCACGATTCTAAGTTTGAACCAAAGAGTCCAAATCCGGCAAATCGTTTTAAGAAAAAAATATAGATTTTTAGAAAAGAAGTGCCAAACATGGACTGTTTTGCCAGATACAGAGTCGCAACCTAAATA